TAGGATGATATGGCATGGTTACGCCCGAAATCCTGTCGGCCACCGAAAATATAGAGGCAATGACCAACCACAGCTATGGCAGCATCCAGTCGCCCGATTACGGGCCCTCCTTCAAGATTGATAAACCACCACTCTTCTGACGAGACGTCCACGGCAATCAGGTCAGATACAACACGCTCAAACTCGGATGAAAACCCTCCAAAGAGGAAGATGAAGGTATTGTCGTTTATTGTAGCCAGCGTCATCCCCGGCTGTCTCAACGAAGGGAACGGACGATGGCGAATGACTTTTCCAGGTGAGAACCGGTCTCTGCCACGATAACGAAGTGAATCGTTCTGCAAATACAGCCGTGAGCTGGGCTATCAATGATGGATCGAGCGCGGGGTTACGATACCAGACGTCTCCAGGTAAACAAATTATCCTTGATCTTTAGAGCATAGAAATCATTGGTTGGGTTATTGGAGTCGTCTCCGGGGCGACAACCACCATAAACATAGGCTTGTTGAGTGGTGTCGTCCACTGCCCACGTCGTCCAAACGTTAAAAGGCGGCTTGTCTCCGTATAAAGCATGGGTTTGAAGACTGGGGTCGGATAAAGCTCTCATCGTTAGGGTCAGAGTGATGATATGGTGCAGAAGATAAAGCAAGAGCTGACACCTTATAGCTATCGATACGATTGCAGGGAAAGCGGGGCACCAGTACCATTTTGGTGTAGTTCTCTCCAGCTCGACTCACCGAATTCGAAAGGTTATCGGGCGGTATGTCGGACAAAGATTACCCCAAGGTTTCGAGCAACAACTTCTGTGGCGGATCCTCAGGGTCAATTATACAGTGATCATGATTCGACGACTTTCTTGCTTAGATGGAAGACGTACGTACCCAGCGCGAGGTTTCCAAAACACCGAATTCGAGAAACTGCCAGTGCACGTGGGTTATTCAATCATACATAAGTATGTTCTCGTTCTCGGTTTCTCAAACGGCGTCATCTGGGGGAGTCAAAATCATTGAACGAAAGTGTCGGCTCACTTTCGTTAACGTTTTTTGGGGCGTGGCGGCATTTCTTCGTCATCCCTAGGCCGCTATACACATGCTTGCAGTCCAACGAGTCCACTCGTGTACTACCAGTCAGTTCCCCGAGATCCATTCCTGTCGAGTGAGCAATAAAGTGCAACCAAGCAGGGACTGGCGCGTGAGATTGGTGTGGTTTGAATGAAATGCGTAAGAGCTTGCCCTAAACAACAACTTTGGGCACTAAACGCGTCGAACACGCCCCGGGCCCTAGATACAAGAGCACTCGTATTCTTGCTCGTATTATTACAGTACAGATGCCCTGAAGCCTTTTCTAGATATACACAAGCTGATACACTAATCTATAGAAGCCCCAGTCAACGTGTCAGTTCAAAACAACTTCAATCGCCACATTCCAAGTCGAATCATCAGGTGCATCGCAATCGTAATCTAATCCTCTGGGGTGCTTATAACCCATGAAGAAAATCCGACTATTGCAAACCACACAGTCCTGGAGATCAAAATCCATCTCCCACAGCTGATTCGCCACTTCTAGACACTGAAAACCTTGATTCGTGGCATACGGTTTGCATACCCACAACTCCGGGATAAGGGAACCGTCACTCATTGGCACCCATCCTGCGATTATGAATTTGAACGGTGAAGTTTTTGGGATAGCATATGGATGCAGAGGGGCAGCATCAATGCCCCGAATCCCGCCCGGGAAGTCGTCTTCGGGGATGTCGAGGCGAGTAAATGATAGGTCATCCACATCGAAGAGGAACACCTTATTTTGGGTAATCTTGATGGGCTGGTATATGAAATGTCAGTGACTCTTCAGATGGATATGCTAGTGGTCAACTTACATCCTCATCGGTCCGCTTCCGACCAGGTAATATAACAATAAGCCTCCGATGTTGAATCGGAATCAAAGTCATCTCAAACCCAAGACGTGGGACGTGCTCTGGGTAAGCTCGGTCTTGATAGAGCCACATCCACGTCCTCCTGTTTACCAAGTACCTGGCCATGCAATACGACGAGATGGCGCAGTTATCTCGAAAGCTGGATCGTCCTCCAAATATATAGAGGCAAGGTCCATGAGCGGTCATTGCGGCGTCCATCCTGCCCATCACTGACCCTCCTTCGACGTTCACAAACCACCACTCCCCAGATGAGATATCCACAGCGATCAAATCTGCCACGACACGCTCGTATTCAGATGAATAGCCACCGAAAATGAAGATAAATGAGGTTCCATTGATATTGGCAAGTGTCATTGCCGGCTGACGCAGTGCTGGAAACGGACGAGGACGGACGGGTCTTCCTGACGCAAAGACGTCCTGGCCACGATATTTGAGGGAATTGGTCTGCCGTAGATTCCGTTAACAAAGGGCTTGACTGAGGAATGATAAAGGTACTGTACTCACTAAACACCTCCACTTCAATTGATTCCCCTCGATCTTGAGTGCATAGAAATCATTTACCGGCTGGTTGTCGGTATCTCCAGGTCGACAGCCACCATAAACGTAGGCTTCCTGGGCGGCATGGTCAACTGCCCACGTCGTCCAAACATTGTAAGGCGGTCGAGCTCCGTGTAAAGCATGGGTTTGGAAATGGGGCTCAGACAACGTCCTCATCGTAGAATCGAGGATGACGGAGGATGATACTGGTGGAAAGAGTGATACTCTTTATCGAGAATTCGACTGCGAGGATACAATTTCGGTTTAGTGGTCTCGAGCGCTAGTTCGATTCACCGAAAGTTTATCTGAAAGGTGACGAGTCCTGTGGCGGATCCTCAGGGTCAATTGTGACTTGGAGATAATAATCATGAAACAACTTGAATTCTCCAGCTTAGAAGGAAGACCCACCGAATTGGAGATTCGAGAAAACCAGTCTCAACTTCACATATCCATCCTCGATTTATCGGATGATTCCCTCGGGAGCTCGAACATTCCATGACGAGCTCGACCTGAATCGAGAAGCCCATCGGAGTCGTGATCTCCAATATTATCGGATACCAACTTGAAGGGGGAAAACGGATACACCATTACTTACACCATCACAATGACCGAATCCACGGATACGTGTTTTCTTGGCGATATCGTCGACGTCTTCCAGAAGTTCGTTCAACGATGTGCAATACTTACCAGTACCAGTCGTGTGCGGACGGAGGAAACCCAAAACCGTTACCGTCTATCATACCTCCACATCGAAATATTTATTTGTTTTTATGGACTCGTTAGAACAGATGGAAGGCAAACCGAAGCAAAGTCACATCGGGTCGGGGATCCGAAGGATAGCATCCTTAACGATGTATTCAACATCTGGGGAGGCCCGGAGCCGGTTGAGCTCGTCCTGGCTCAAATAAGCTGGAAACAAAAGACTCAGAAACTTATTCACTGGCAGAGCCGACCGGAAAGGTAAATCGTCGCACCAGAGAAGCTGCGGAAGTGCTCGAAGGTACGCTCAACCTGTCGGAGGCCAAAATTCTGGGAAGCACCAGGTTTGAGCCTCACGATGTACAGGTCAGTCTTCCGCCGGTCGTCGTGGGTCTGGACAGTGTGCAGATAGGTTGGGTGATGAGGCGCTTGCTCGAATTGAAGGCCACTGCGGAGTCAAATGGGATTACCAACTATGGCGATCACGTAGGCGCGGAGAACTCGCCAATATCTGAATGAGAGATAGAAGCCGCAACAGCCGGGGATTCATTAGAATTGACCAACGACCAAAGGAAAAGTGACTGGGGTCATAATACGCACCCACATGGATGAGGACCCGGCTTCTCCTGTAACAAAAAAGAATGGTGGTAGATGAAGTTTGGTGTTTAGAAGAACGAATTTAACTCGATTTGAGAAATTTAGGTGCAATTGTTTGTCGGGGAAGACTTACCAGGTTGATGTAGATTTTTGGGTGACTGAGTGGTCCGCCTGCTAGAATAGTGTATATTAGTGATTCTTGTCACAAGGGACCGAGAATAGAAGGAAGGTGGGAAAGAGTGCACAGACAGCGGACAACCTGGTATGTTGCAACCAAAATCGCAAAGAAAAATTCAAAGCAACCAGTCGAGAAGCATAGTGAGCATACATACCACCGTCACAAATTGCCTTGCGATCCTCCACAAACCTCACAGGTTCGTTCGCAATGAGCTCCATAGCACTCAACGGAGCAGGCTGTAATTCCATATGCGTTTGTTCGAATCGTGGACTTTCGCCAGCAACTGGTCTCTGACGTTGGTTGGGCGCTTGTTGTGTGACAACCGAAGGCTGAATACTAGTTGCAGCCTTGGTTGCTGGAACTGTAGAAGATGTAAACGACGAAGCAGAACGAGCGAAAGTCTTGAGAGAGTTTGAAAGTTGTGGAAGGAGTCGCCGACTCAGCATACTGAACGATGATTGTTAACGTCCAAGAAGTGAAACACCGTCCCATCGCATGACATACCATATATGGAAGTGGCGTGAACGTTGCTGCTGCCACTGCTTACGATTCCGAAGCTAGCATCTCGTTTTTGAGCGCACCAACTTAAGCCACACATTTGCGCAAGTTGTAAAGAAATTTATGCTGGGAGCGGGTCTTGGGGTCAAACTTCTAAGCTTACCAGGGGGATCCTCGACCAAAGGGATTAGACGTTCAAGGCTTTGAAGCATACTAAGTTAGAAGCCGCAGCACAAGAACTACACCGCCTGTCCAGCGCAATACTTACTTACCAGTCGTGTGCGCCACTGCGCCCCAAAATCTCCGAGCCCAGCGTCGAGACAGAGGAAACCCCAAACCGTCTACATTCATCTCTTCCCCGCCACCACCAACAATCTGATCTGATCGATCAAGATCTAAATCCGTAAAATTACCTCCGTCCGACTGTGCCTACCAAACTCGGACGCCTCTCGAGTCCACAAGTGTTGTCACAGTTGCGAGTCCAAGCAAGGCACGAACTGGCACGAACAACTTACTTGAGCCATAAGCATAAGTTGGCATCAGATTCCGGTGCTTTCGTCAGGTGAGATGGCCGAGCGGTCTAAGGCGCCAGACTAAGGACCAGGACAGTTTCTGTCCAAAAATCATATCTGGTCCTCCGGGGCGTGGGTTCGAATCCCACTCTCATCACACTTTTTTGCGAGGGGAGTTGGTTGGATGGGTGATACTGATAGGGGTGGATTTTTTGTGGTAGTCGGATGCGACGGTGTCTATAGGTATAGTGATATTTTGAAAGGAGCTATACTGAGTCCTTTCTATGATGCCAGATCAACGTCTAAAGAGGATCGTCATTGTCCCGGGCCCGCAGCATCTCCCTTCACTTCTCTTCCTTCAATCGAGCTTCCTCTCGATCGTCCACATCAACGCTTTCATTCTCAACTTCCTCTTCCTCGCCTCCGTCTTCTTTCTCCTCCTCATCACCATCACCATCCCCATTCCGACCTTCATAATCCTCTTTAATCCTCATAATTTCCTTCTTAATCTCCTTTACCTCTTTCATCTTATCCACCCATATATCAATATCAAATCCACGTGTATCGTATAATGCATTCCTCCGTGCAGATATGGAATGTCGGAGAACTGAAGAGTAGGATACCTCTCTACCTTGGTAGAGAAACCAGAGGTATCCGAGTATGACAGTGGATAAACCGGATAAGTAGGTTATTGGTTCCATTACGTCCCTAGTAATCCGGTTAGCTTCAAGTGTAAAGGTAAAAGGGGCTGGACGTACCAACCATAATCCCAAAACGTTAATCGGGCAACAGCGCCCCAGTATACTATAAGCATACCAAAGCCACCTAAAGCCATACGTTGAGCACCCCTCCTGGCTTCTTTGTCGCAGGAACGTTTAAGTTCGTCCATGTAGCGGAGTTGACGTTGTAGTAATTGAAGTCGTTTGCGGATGTAGTGTGTACGATCTTCGAATGTTGGGACGTCTACTTCGAGGGAAGTTTTAATCGGCGGCGGCGGCGACGGCTGCTTGGTGGAATTTAGGATATCGTTCAAGTTGACATGGGTATCATCAGGCTCATGCGAATGTTCTGTGATTGGTGGATATTCAACGGTGATAGAAAACTTTGCTGAACGTGCAGCTTCACGTATAAATTCAGCTACGTCAGTTGATTCTGACCATTGAGTGGTTTGACCTAACGGTGATGTGTTTCGGAATGAGATGGTTGGCGTGTCGACGTCTGTGTCTGTATCCGTGGTGTTTGGTGTTGATCGTAACATGTGTTTATAAGGTTGTGATTGGAGGAGGGAAGCGAGGATAAGACGGGTTACATGGGAGAGGGGTTGTGATGGGTGAAGAAGAAAGACTGTTGGTGGGTTTGACAAGTTGGACTTGGCGTTGTTGGCATTGCTGCGTGGAGTGAGGGTGTCGAGAGGAAGGATAAGCTTGAATAGGCGTGATGCTGTCGGCGATAGTTTACCTGCCTCGTGTCAGTATGTGCGAGCAGGGACGTTGTCAACTCTGACCTCTCCCTGGTACGAGCCTATCCACGTTCATCGCCTTTTGCTTATCCCATTTCGAATTTGAATCCGCGTTTGAGAGAAAGTTTGCGTGTGATACGTTTATCTTTTCCGGATCTCTTGGGAAGGTTGATAGACTACGCAAAGCGCAAATCCTTGTTGAATGAAAAGCGTAGTTGCGGGCGAGGTTCATTGTGGTGGAATGACGTCATGCAGGGTGAATATGAGTCTATGTAGATCTTATCTGATAAGTCCAAGTCCAAGCCGAACACGTGTAGTTGGGGGAGTGTTATAGATAGCCCGATTGGGAGTTGTGCTGCTTTCATCCCGTTTGCTTTCCTTGTCCTTCACCCCATCAACTGAATGGACGGCCCCACCTCCTCCGAGTGTCCTCCAGGTCATCAAGAACGTTCCCCACCACTCCCCGCTCAACATCCACAACAACTCCCAGCGATCAACGTCTCCCTACCTTCATCCCCACGTTCAAGCGCGCTTCCTTCCCCACCAGATAGTCCCTCTTCAGTATCATCTTTCCCTTCGGTTTCTTCTTCCTTCTTCTTCAGTTCTGCCGCTGCAAGTCCCGGTCACCCACATGGTGGTGGAATTCATTTGCATACTCATCCACATTCTCAATCAACCCACCCTTCACGAGATGAAGGCCTCATCATCCCCTCTCTTGATTTACCAACGGCGTTGAAGAGACCCACGCCTTATGGTCAAACCATGGGTGACCTTCGCGTAATCGTGCTAGGTGCCAACGGTGCTGGCAAGCGGTTCCTGGATTCACTTCTCCTTGAGGATAACGGGCATGTTGTTGAGGTTGGTTCTTGGGAGGACTTTACCGATGGTATTGATGATGCCGATGCCGCTGAAAACGGGTTATTGGGTAATCGAGAAGGAATCAAGGTACTCCGAGCTTCGACTGATTGGATCGAACATCGAGACGCTCATGGATTGGAGAAATTCGAGCCATTGCGCAATGTTGAGTTTGTGGAAGTGTCGGGATACGACCCTGTTGTTGCATCACAATCTGACGTAGGTGTTTGCTTTTGGTTCTTTTTGACCCTGATAGTGATATCTTTACGTATTGATAGGTGCACGAGTTGTTGCAAAAGGTCAAGGCCATCATACACGCGCCTTTTCATTCGGTTGCAGATGTCTTGCATCCTGATCATCGTCCTTCGGCCGTAATAGCAAATCTCGTTTCGTCTCCCCTCACACCACTCTACACCTCTTTGGTATTCCTCTTACAATCTGGTAAGACATAATCGGCACTCGCCACACCAAATCTGACACTTTTTCAATAGTACCAACGTCATCTGACCGACTTATTCTCAACACGCTAAGCACCGAAATCCCAATCATCGTTCTCCCACGTCTATCCAGTTATGCGTACCATCAATCCCACCATCACCAACGTCTATCCTCTCGTGACATGGAGGATGATTCCTTGAACGCACGTTTATCCACGTTCCAACCTTCATCAGCTATCGCACTTCGTACTGGGTTATTCAATTCACCTGAAACCCTAGCCCTGTTAAGAAGTGAAGCCACGGATAGGTTTTTGAAATGGCGTGAGGTGGAACGTGAAGTTGAGGGTATTACAGCGGCTACTCAGAGTCGTGCTACTGTTTTGGCGACTTCGCAGACTGTGGTTATGCCTGGTCGTGGGGGTGCTCAACGTCAGCATGAAAGACAACAAACCTTGACGCATAACCCACTTATTGGTTCTGCAAAGTTGAAGAGGCAGCCGTTACCGAGGTGGCAGAGAGAGGATTTGTCGCCTTGGGATCAAGCGAGGTGGGAAGCTAAATGGGAATCAAACCTTTCGGTTGATGTGGCTAGGAGGTTGAGGGAGGAGAATTTGTTGGCTAACAATAATAGGACGGCACCTAGTCCTGAGGAGGCGGATTTGGAAACGACATTCCACCCGGCAGCAAGAAAGTTCACACCACCACCACCACCACCACCTTCGAATTTGGGTACATTCCGGTATCCGTCTCCTCTAGAGAAAGAGGATAGCAACATGTCGAACACGACAAGGGGTGTTCCTGGGTCATGGAGTGGTGGTACCGGTGCTGGTCATCTCAACCGCGACGAATCGGGATATGAATATGATCCGTTACATCTTCCTTCGCTTTTGATGTTTTCCCTCTCCCTTTTGGGACCTTTGCAGACGAAGATTGGACAGACGATTATGGGGTTGGTGGAAGGTGCTTTTGGGGGTTCGAGTAGGAGTGTTGCGGCGGTGGCGGTGATGGATGCTCAGGAAAAGGGACATGGGAGGTTGGGACATGCTGGGAGACGGAAACATCGACAGGGGCATGGACAGCAAGTGGAACTGGGAGGGGGAGGAGGGGTCTCGACGGGGGTGAAGGTCGCGGTTGTGGGTGGTCTTTCAACTTTTTGTGTGGGGGTTGGTGTTGGGATGTTTTTGAAGTCGTGATCGCCTGGGTGGTGATGAAGAACGAACAAAGTGACGACCTCCTTTGATGACTTCGATGACACTCGACGATGACCACCTCTGATTTCGGTGATGATCCTTTTTTGTGTTTTGTGTTTTTTTTTTACCCCCAAGTCTATCGCGTTGATGTGGGCGTATTGTTCCTTCTTCAAAGGCGGGTTGGCTTAGGTGTCTATATGCGCCCATCTTCCTTCCTTTCTTTTTTGACTTTGGACTTTTTGACTCCTCGCTTTGGTTTCCTCCCATCGTCCCGTCTCTACATCCCGTATCCCGTATCCCGCATCCCGCATCGTATCATTCATCCACGCATCTCGCATACGCACACCTCTCACACGCACATATGCTTTCATTGATTGATCACATCCATCCATCCCGCATTCATCGATCTCATCTCTGCTTTCGAAAGTTCATTTTTGATCCACGACACGCTTTCGTTTTTTAAATTTACGAATAGACATTCCCTTGCCCTCGTCGGTTTTTTTGTGTGTAGTAGTATTATCTTTGGTACTGTACCACCCCTCCCCTTCCTTCTGCTCCTCCTGTACCTACTCTTGTGGTACAGTTTCATACTTCCATTCCTCCTCATCCCCCCACCAGGCATTTACTTTGGAGAGGTGGAGTCAAGTTCGTCAGTGCCAGGAGGTGATGCACCATGCTTTGCCTTCAGACTCCAGATTCCTGCTCAGGTCAGTAGGATGGATATCTTCAAGTCGAGGTCGTTCATCGCCTGGTGTAATAATTTCGATATTTTTTGCATCTGTAGTTATAATGCGACAGTTTTATGTATTATGTATGTTTCCGAGTCCTTTTATGCCCCCCTCTCTTTTACAGATCTCTACGTACACGTATGCTTTACTCGAGCTCGCTACGTACTTACAAGTTAGTCAGCGCTCAATGTTCGTCATGATGAAATGATGAAATGATAGTTTTATGCTCTCTTGCGCCGTACACGTTCGATAAATTATTGCGTTGATTTACGAAAGGTGATCAGCTTCTATAAAACTTTGATTTCTTGATCTTTAGGTGCTGTCAGTTAGCCCGAACGCGTTCGTGGTTTAGGGCAAGCTCTTACGCGCGATGTCACGTTCCCGCGCCGGTTCGGCCCCGCTTTCGCTTCAGAAACCTGCTCAGCACCATCCCACAAAACGTTCTTGCCCACATCTCCGAATGGACTCGTCGACTGCCCCTTATAAGA